CCAGGCCCAGCCCAGGCCCGGCCCCAGCCCCCGGGCCCGGCGCAGCCCCGCCGCCCCGGTCCCTCCAGGCCCTCGAGGCCTGCTCCTCGCCGTGCCCCGCCTCAGTCCATGGTGGTGGCTTGGAAGAGCTCCACCAGGTCCTTGTACTCGGGGTCGATGAGGTCCGAAGGCTTCTCCCCGGCGTCGGTGGTAGCCTCCAGGCTGGCCCCCAGGGAGATGAGGTACCTGCAGGAGACACGGAGCTGAGCCGGCAGGGCCCGCGGCTGGCCGGGCACCCCTCCCGGCTCACAGGGCTCCCCCAGACCCCGCTGCCATGATGCCCGGGCACAGCCGCAGGGAGCTTTAAGGCCTGGGCAGTCCCGCATGTACCAAGCACTCTGCTAGGAGGAAACGCCCGGAGCCCCGTCCAGCCCCATCGCTGTCGGCTGTGGTTCTCTGGGCTCTGCGATGCCAGGGTGTCCCGTCACAGCCCAGGCGAGCTGCTCCTCACCTGGCTATGTCAGCATAGCCGTCGCTGCAGGCCATGTGCAAGGGCGTCCACCCATTCTCATCTTTCTGGTGGATGTCAGCGCCGTATTTAACCAGGAGCTTGACACAGTCCAGGTTTCCAGTAAGCACAGCTTCGTGGAGGGCTGCCATGCCTGGAAGGAAAGGATTTGTTAGCACTGAACTGGCAGACGAGTCTCTAAATGCTGAGCGTACGAGTGTGACTTGTCCACAGCCCAGGAAAGAGGGGTGCCAGCAAACCCTTGTTATCAGGGAGATGAGTGTGGGGAAAGAAACAAAGCCTGTGGAAGGAAGAAGAGCTGCCACAGGTTTCTCTTCCCCTTCTACAGCGTAAATACCCTCTCTAAGATGGCGAAGCACAAACCTCCCCACTGGGCCAGGCAGGACAGGTTGAGGGAGGAGGAGCTGCCCTCTCCTGCAGAGCTCCTGGCCAGCAGCCTGCCCCGAGTCCCGGCCAGGACTCACATGGGGACACGAGAAGAGTGTCTCCGGGGTACTGCTCTGTCCAAGTTTCGGAAGCTCCTTACAGAGCCAGTAATGAAGCAATCAGTATAGATAGGAGGAAGCCCGGGGTCATTTGAGACCCTGTCTCCATGGCCATGTGACAGCAGAAGCTGAAGCCAAGCACGAGAAAGGGACAAATCTGGGCTCTGCACCAGCCAGTAGAGATCAAGGCATTCCATAAACAGTTGCTAGTGAGGTTGGGTGCAAACATAACACAATGCCCTCCCCACAAACATAAATGCCACAAGCCCACAGATCCACATGTGCAAGAAAGAACAGTGTTTGTGAGAAAGGGACAGAGTTGGGAACACAATGCAGAGCCTTGCTTCTCCTCGCTCTTTCCCCAAGCTGGGGCGGAAGGCAGGAGCCCCACAGTCCCATCCAGAGCTGCACAGACCAGCCTGTGTTCACGGCTCCTTTCCTAGGTCCCACCACACTGCAGGTGCACCGCCATGCCTTGAAGGGACCCAGAGGCTAAGCCTCCCCCCTTCCCGCAGCCTGCGCTGACCACACTGTTGAGGGAAGATGCTGGGGCACTGGTGCGGGGCTCTCTTGGGCCCTGCTTGGCAATGTTGGGGGTGGTATTCCTCACTAGGGAGGAAAACGACTCGATTTCAACCTGTCACCCTGCCGAAGACGGCCCACGTCAGCTTTGGCCGCACAGCTCGCTCTCGTCTCCCTCGCAGCCCAGCTGAGCCGTGCCGCTGTGCAGATTCCAGCTCTGCCAACCCCAGCAGCACTCACCAGAAGGGTAGATGGTGTCCAGCGTCACCTTCCTGGCGCGTATGAATCTGCCCACCTGCTCCAGGTCCCCCTGCCTGATGTGGTCCTGAAAGACGACGTCATTGGGGAAGCGCACAGTGCGTGAGGCTCTCAGTCTCTGGGCGTACCGACTGTACCGGGGCATTGAGACTGGGTAATAGTCCTTCATGCTGATCGCAGCTTTCAGACACTGCAGAGGAAGAGGAGGAGCAGAGGCATGGGGGGCTGCAGGAGCAGCCGGAGTTGCTCAGTGCTCGGCCCTGCCACTCGCTGGCCTCGAACCACTGCTTTCTCCTCTTTTGCCTGTCACGTCCCTCCTCGCTACGGAGGTGTGATGGCACCCGCACCGCTGTGCTCCCTCCGTGCCCGTGTCCCTGGTGGGTGTGAGTCCCCCTCGCTGGCAGGGAAGCGTCGGCCGCCGGGCTCTCCCTATGCTCCCATGCCACATGCAGGAGGTGGCGCTGGGCTCACGCAGTTCACCCGCAGGCCCTTGGCCCAGGACTGATGGTTCTCCAGCGGCATCGCGTTATATAGGCTCCCGTGGGCTATTTTGAGGACATGCAGCTCATGCTATTTGCCATGATACTTTGTAATCGAGCCGCTCAGGCCCGCAGCCTCCCACTTTTGGGCAGAAGTTGGTGTCTCATCTTACCACCCACCTGTTGATGTGCCCATCCAAGGGGTCAAACCTACTGTTGCTTTTGCATGGATAGCCCTTCGGAGGAGCCCAAGGGCCCGAAAACAGAACTTCCCAGCAGCAAGTCCTCACACACACGCACGCGCACGTGCCAGGGAAAAGACACGAGCATGATCACCAAGCGAGGGGAACCAGCCGCTCATGTACCAACCAGCCGGCGCAATGCAGACGTGTCAGAGCTATGGTGCCAAATACATTCAGAGCGAAGTCACTCTCCTGTAGTTGCATCAGACGACTTGAAAGGAGCAGAATGAGCTGTGCTGCCCAGCATGATTGTGAGACAGCGTACAGCTAAGCATGGAGAACACCACCAGCCTGTTGGATGTATCAGTGCCCTTGCGAGGACAGAGTGCTGCTGGTGCTCCTGATGCAGGCGCAGAACCAGAAGCCTACAACGCCAGTCTGTGGTGTTCAATGTCCTACTTCAACTCAGAACCAGCTGCTACGTAAGGGCAGGCTTCTACAGAACAGCCTCAGAAGAACAGCTGAAGAACAGCACCACCACCAGACAATTCCTGCATCGTTGCTCTCCAGCTGTAGCTGTCCAAGACCCAAAATGGACCATTTACCACAGAGGAATCTTTCAGATCTGCCAAGGGTTCAAGCAACAACTGCTCCTCCATCCTTTTTTCCATCCAAGTTTGGTCTTTTCAGATACACAAGCATATTGTGCTCTGTTTTGTGCTGACGGGGATTGTCCAGGCAGGACAATGAACTCCTTTGTGGTGCATCAGGAAAAATCCCTGTCCTGCATCAGGAGTCACAGAGGCACATTCTGCCCCTTCTGCAGCAGACCCTTGTCCCAAACCCCTGTCAGCAGTGAGGCTGACAGCTCCATCAGCCACGCACCTGAGAACTGCGTGCTGCGCTTGTTCATCTTCTAGCAAACGCATTGATCTTTTTACTGAGCATCTCTGCTCAGCGGTACATCAGACAGAACACCGTGCAACAGGAGGCTGAGCTATCTGCTGTGGAGACAGAACGCTTTTAGCCTGCTTTCTTGGAACAGAAATTAGCTGTGTACACAAGATGACTGATGGAGTCCTGCTTTGCCAAGAGCAGCCTTGGTGTATGAGAAAAGCCCCCCTCCTCTGAGCTGAACAAGGCAGGTCTCAGACCATAAACACAGGAGAACCACTGCAGAGCTCAGCTTTGTTTACACTTTAACTGGCTCCGCAAATGGACCTTTTTGAGCCAAGTCCTAGCCAGCACCTTCCAGTGGAACTTCTTACGAGCAGTGCTCTCTTCCTCCCCACCCCGAAACACAAGGCAGCTTTCTTACTCAGAAGCAGCTACCACTAACCAGCCCTGACACGGCCACTAGCACTGCCTGCTCTGCTGGCCTACCGGAACAGCAGCTGGGCTACACTAAGAACAAGTCCCCTGCCTGCCTTCGTGGTCACAGCCCTGGAGGGAGGCACCTTCAAAGATCCTTCTCCACGTAACCGCAGGTAACAGTCACAAACAACACAACTGTTTACTAATAGAACAGGCAGCAGCAAACACTGCTTTCTGATCCTACAGTCAGCGACTGCCTGTTCAGCCCCAGTACTGCTGGGCCCAAGGTTTGCGCACGCCATGCCAGGACTCGGCAGGGGCTCTGTTCTCAGGGGAACCACAGGAGGCTGGAGCTGGTGCTACAGACAAGGGTTGTACAAGGCTTCTGTTCTACCACCCCAGCGCACCCACATTCGGTCACTGGCACCAGTAGCCTCCTGAGTTGCCCTC